AAGCTGGCTTCCCTCCCGGTGTCCTGGGGTCCCCCCTCTGCACAGTGCCTGGAGCTATTAATAACACTTTAAGTGAAATGGGTGTGGTGTGATCCCAGCTGCCCACCCTAGTGAGACTCTAGCACATGGGGAGTGGGGAGCAGAATAATAATAGATATGCCAAGCTCTATTAGTAATTTACTAACAGTGTACATGTATGAACTCATTTAATATGAGAACCCCCCTGAGGTGAGGGCTTTTATTATCCTCTTTGACAGATAAAGAAACCGAGGCACAAGGGGTCTAAAAACTTGCCCTGTTCTCGCATCTAGTAAGTAGGAGAGCTTGGGAAGAGGAATCCTTGGGGTCTAGGGCTTCTCTTTCCCTGTCTCTTCCTCTTAGTGGCCTTGCTGGTGAGCAGCACCTCAGGCCCTGGGGTCTCTGCTGGGCTCGGCTTAGAATGCTGACCACTCACGAATCTTTCATGTGGTGCTATGATGGAAGATCTCTCAGGGAGGGGAGGTGAGGGGGACCATGTACAACCTGAATTGGGTCTCATCCGTCTTACCTCTAGGTTCTGGCAGAAACAGAGGCATGGATCCCTGACAGGTTCTTCTCCAGGCGTTGGACTCTGTGACCTGGCATCCAGCCTCTGCCACTGCTGGCAGGGGCCTTGCCTGTTGCATGGTAGCCTAACATGTGTAATAATTAACCTTTTTTATAGTGTAAGAGAATTTCAGGCACAAACTTCATAGGGCTAAGGCAAGTCACAAATTGGTTCCAGGCTTAGCATGAGCTTAAAATACTTCACAGTCCTTCCTAGGAATTCCTTGACTGGGGAGGCCTGTGGCTCTTTAGTGGGAAAGCTCTTCCATCTTCCAGTCTCTGGCCCCAGAGCTATGGGCCTGGGCTTGTTGGCCTACTGCCCTCATGTAGGCCAAAGAGGCTGCAACCTTGGCTGCTGGGCCTCTGGCAGTGCCCTAGGAATCCTGCCTTTTCCCCCATCTCTTTTCTGGCTTGGAGCGCAGGCCACCTCCCCTACTGTTCTTTACTTAGCTCTGTACTCCAGATTAGCACATTCTTGATTTCCTCTCTGAAGGCTTTCTGTGCCCCACACTCGTCTGTAAAGCCACTTTGGTCCTTCAGGGCTCTGCCCCATGACGTCAGCTAGCCTGCCCGACAAATTTGAAGGTCTTGCTCTCTTATTGCTGGGGTTAATTTTCATATCCAGTCAGGGATATCTGAAAAACATGTGCCGGAATGTATGTCAATTACTGGTCTTCATAGGAAACTCTTCATAAGTTTCTCTTTAGAAATTAAAAATAATGTTCTTTCTGATTTACTTCAGGAGACCTCTGTGAGAGGGGCCCACCATGGGGGAGAGTTTAATAGGGAGAAGAACCAACAGGACGAGAGATGTATTAGCTCAGGAATTCTATCTAAACCACTGAGTGAGGGAAGAAAGAGGGGAGAAATTAAACAGAAATCAAATTAGATCTTGCCCTTTCAAAATTCAGGTTGGGAAGATAAGGCATCAACATGTAAAATGGTAAATTTCTTCAAAGTTAAAAAGTTGAAAACCCTACATAAAGTTTCTGAAGCATCCTCATATAATTTCGTGAACCCTTTTCAGAAAGGTAGATTGGCTTGCTTGACACAGCCAGGAAGTAGAGAACTGGTATTCAGAGTGCATGGGATCCAAAGCCCAGATTCACTGTGCTTCATCAATTCATCTCTAAAAGGTGAAGAATTTGTGTAAGTCTGGAAGTGCGATGTGAACCCAGCCTTTCTTATTACAGGTTATCTTTTGCCTAGTGCCACGCAGTCTAAGAGCAGAACTTGCCGTGAGTGCTCTGTGTTCAGTGGTTGCCCCAGAGCGTGCACCTTGGTTTGGGCCTTGGTGCACCCTTACTTAGCACCAAGTAAGCACTGATTGGTTAGAGTGGGGAGCTGATGTGCTGGTGTTAGTCACCGGGCTGAAGACGGAAACCTAGCCTACAGTCTTGCTGGTGAGACTTCACAGGTTACATAAGCACGCTCCAGGCTCAACTCAGTGGTGACAGAGGGGCCCCCTGTGCTTTGGCAGTAATGCTGCTGGTTGACAGTGATGGGTACCTTTCTGATCACAAAGGACTTTTATAGGTATTATTTCATTTGATGCTCACAGCATCTCTGTGAGGGGGCGGCTGGGCAGGTACCATTGACCCTTTCTTATAGACAAGAACTCTCAAAGGCCGTGCAACCAGAAATCAACAAATTTCAGACCAGGGCTCAAGCCTCTCCTGATTGTAAAACTATAGCCACCTGTTGCCTCTGGGTAAACAGACAGAGGGTAATTTGACAACTTTGATTCTTCCTCTTTGGGCCGCAGTTCCCCTGTGCCTGTAGGGGACATTAGAGGTCCTTCCTGCTTGGCTGCTCTGGAAACGTGTCCCTGAACCCTGTGAATGTAGCAGTCTTACAGCATCTAATCTCACCATGTTATAAGCATTTTCTGTGTCTACCTCCCCTCGTGTCTTCTAGCCCCCTTAGTGGATTAAGCTCTTTCAGATCAGGAGTCCTCTCTTTGGTCTTTACCATTCAACACAATGCATGGTCTGTGGTAGTAAGGGCTCAGTAAATGCTTACTGAACTGTAGAAGATATGAATGAAATTGGTCTGTGTCTCCCCCTGCCCTCTTAGAGCATGGGAGAGTTAGGTAAACTTTTTTCTTGGAAGTAGCAGAACTCAGAACCTGTGCAATATCATCAGGTGGCCACGAGGTGGCAGGGTGACACCGCGGGGACCTTGCCCTCTGCAGCTGTTGGCTCTGTCCCACTCCGTGGGAGAGACCGACCTATCTAGTTGATTCCTTCTGGATACCTGCTTGGGGAAGTGCCTCTGCAAAATGTGTCTGAGACATTTCTGCCTCCAGCTTCTTCTACAAGCTAGGTGGTATGGTGGAAAGGCTGTGCTTGGGAGTCTACCAGGCCTGGCTTCTTCTTTTATTTTTTTAGACAGAGCCTCAAGCTGTTGCCCTAGGTAGAGTGCTGTGGCATCATAGCTCCAGCAACCTCCAACTCCTGGGCTCAAGCGAGTCTCCTGCCTCCGCCTCCCAAGTAACTGGGACTACAGGCGCCC